CCAGAGGTTTCCCAGCTATGGGAAATGGGTATTTATGTCAGCACTAAGAACTGCTTTGATTCATAGTCCAGAGAGACCTGGAAAAGATAGGGCAGGGAAGCACATGTCAGATGATCTCATTCAGCCACGTCATGTCACAGATGGGGAAACTGAGGCCCACCAGGATGCCATGACTTGCCCAAGGCCATTTGCCACTTTGTGACCGAGCGGCTGCTTCCAAACCAATGTCCTTTCTACCCTCTTTAAGAGGATCATACTCCTTTTTTTTTTTTTTAAAGATTTTATGTATTTATTTGAGAGAGAGAGTGTGAGAGAGAGCATGAGAAGGAGGAGGGTCAGAGGGAGAAGCAGGCTCCCCGCTGAGCAGGGAGCCCAACACAGGACTCGATCCTGGGACCCCAGGATCATGACCTGAGCCGAAGGCAGACGCTTAAGCGACTGAGCCACCCAGGCATCCCCAAGGATCATATTTTCTTAATCGAAGATGGGGCCAACTTTTCTGACAGAAGACTCACTAGGTTGAATTTACTTATTAAATAGAGGCCTGACAGCAAAGCCATTCTATATGAAGAACTTTGGGACGCAAAGGAGAGCAGAGATGTCTAATTGTTCCAGATTGCTTTTAGAGAGAAAAACTAAGTCTCATCCAGTTATGCATGGAACCCTTATGATAAAACAAGATGACATAAAACAAAAACAAAATTCGTCAGCCCCCACCCACCCTAAAAAAGAATCTCTTATATTTGCCTATATCCTGCACTTTCAGAAGTAGATTTAAAAGAGATCCCAATAGGGGCGCCTGGGTGGCTCAGTCGGTAAAGCGCCTGCCTTCGGCTCCTCACCTAGCCACCACCCACTGACACCTGTGCCCATAGCCCCGATGGGCCGCCCATCCAACGTGGTAGAGAAGCCAGGGCTCCCCACCCGTTAGGGTGCCCTAGCACCAACCCCGTCCAGCCCGCTCCCACTTGAGGCTTGTTACCCGCCACCACACTCTAGACTGTGTGTTCTCAGTTTATTTCTGTCCCCCTGCCAATCAGATGTAAGCTGCACCAAGGCAGGGATTTTTGCCCGCTTTCCCCACTGCTGATTCCTAAGCACTTAGCACATAGTGGGTGCTCAGTAAATTGCCTTCTCCTGTGAGGCAGCAAACAAGCTAGCAGGCAGGTGGATGACCCGCCCACAGGGGACATTTCTCAGCGGGCCCCAGGGTCTGGCTCCCAGGCCCCTGCCCGGCTGCTGGGAGCTCTCTGCCTAGGCTGTTGGAAGCAGTAAGGGTCTCCTTCACAGGCATGCACCGCCCCTCAAAACCAGCCCCAACAGACAGATACCATGAATTAAGGCACCCCAGCCAATGACCTATGGCATGAATACATTAGGTGGATGTCTAGCGGTGATGTGTTCTGGCTTTTTAAGCAGACTCCTCATTAGCGCCCTGTAGGTCTCCTCCTAAAACAGTACCAGGCTCATCTCAGGGGAGGGCAGGGGCTCCCCCAGAGAGAGCAAAGAGACAAGCGCTCCAAGCGATCTGGGCTGAAACCTAACCTCTACTGTATCCCCCTAGGGAAACTTGACCCCAGCTAAGTCATCTGGACACACCTCAGTTTCCTTGCCCGAACGTGGGGAGGCCATTGCCTAATTCCAGGGAACATGCGATGGATATAACATACAACACTCTGCAACGGCACCCACCTACCTGAGTGATCTGGAAGGGAGTGGTCACCTGGAGCCACTTCATGGATGATGGTAACGATGACAAGGACAAAGATGAAATTTTAATGAGCATCCGTTTCCTCTGTGTCACCCGGCTAGGTGTTTTCACAGAAACTTGTCTCATTTAAACCTCACCGTAATTCAGGAAATGGGCATTATTACCCCATTTTGCATAGGAAAAGCTGAGTCCTCAGAAAGCTCTTGGAGAAGTCCAACTGGGGAGCCGGAGAGCAGTCTTCAGAGGGGGCCCCGTCTGAGAGCCCACTGCCTTCTGCTGTCTGAGTTTCTGTCTTGGGCTTCAGGAAGGTAAAGACCCCCTCTTGCAGGTGGCCAGGGCTTGGTTCTTTCCTGGCACAGGATGACCCCAGGGCCACGTGGCCTTATTGGCCTGCTCCCAGGCACACCAGAGACCTTCCCAACCTTGCTTACTCCCCAGGCACCAGGCCCAAATGGCCTTGGAGCACTTTGTGAGACCCATTAGCTGAGGGGTGGGGTGACCTGAGGGACAGGAGGGAAGAAGCTAGGTTAACACAATGGGACCTTGAATTAGGTCAGGAAGAACATCTCCGGTGTGATTGTTGTGCCCCTGACAAAAGGATCCAGCTCTGGGGTCTTGGAATGCTCTTGACACTTTGATTACAGATCATAATAGGCTCAAATAGTTCCCAAACTGGTTCCCTGGAAAACTGATCACACTAGATGCTCTTTGGGGCTGGGTTGCGGGGGTCCTTAGCCAGACTCACACATACACTGACAGGTGCAGGTGAACTCCTACAGGACCCAAGTGTTGCCCAAGGTCAGTTGGCTATGGGACATTCTCACCTGCTTCCTCCCTTTTAGAAACGCTGGCTTACAGCAGTTTCCCACCTCAAGTTAGGAAGGAAATCCCGTTGGCCTTGGTAAGTCCACTGGGGTTTTGAGCCTACACTAAGGAAAACAGACTTGTTTGCTGAAGTCCCCCAACTATCAGGTGCCAAGCGTAAAGCACCTTTACACGCGGCACCATTTCATCTTTATGACAGTTGTGTAGAAGAGGGTATTGACTGCTTTTCCTCCACCCAGCATCTTCCAGAATCTTCTGGAAAGGACACCCTAATTTTCTTTCTCCGGCTCCCACTCTTCTCCAACTCATCTTTTTAAATAACAGCTTTTGAGACATAACCACATCCCATACAATTCACCCATTTAAACTGTACGATTCAAAAGTTTTAGTATATTCCCAGATGTCCACAACCATCACCACCGTCCGTTTTGAGCATCTTCATTACCTCAAATAAGCCCTGTCGCCTTCAGGCATCTTCTCTCATTCTTTCATCCCCCCAGCCCTAAGCAACCACTAATCTACTTTCTGTCTCTATCGATTTGCCTGGGCTGCACATTTTATACCAATGGAATCACACAACGTGAGGTCTTGGGTGACTGGCTTCTCTCACTCAGCACACTGTTTTCAAGACTCATCCACTTTGTAGCACTTGTCAGTGTTGCATTCCTTTTTATGGCTGAATGATATTCCGTTGCAGCGACAGAGTACATTGTTGGTCCATCCATCCACTGGTGCATATCTGGATTGTGTCCACCTTTTAGCGACTGTGAATAGTACTGCTATGAACACTTGCGTACAAGTTTTCATTCTTCTTGGGTGCAGACCAGGGACAGGAATTGCTGAATCCTATAGGGCCTCCATGTTTTACCGTTTGAGAAACCGCCAGCCTGTTTTCCCAAGTGGCTGCACTATTTCACATTCCCACCCACAGTGTATGAAGGTTCTGCTCTTCGTCACCAGCACTTGTCATTGCCTCCCCATCTCTAGCTCATAATCCACATGGGGCTCCACAAGACAGCGGAGACCTTAGCGTGGCCTCCTCCCCCCTCCACCTGTATCCGTATACCGTCTAGGTGCTGTGTGCTGTGGGTGATGGTGAAATTCATGCTGATGAGCAGTCCAGTGGAACACCTGGGCTCCTATTTATTGTTTTCAGGTTGCATGAGGTTTTGGGGGGTAAACACTAAGGGAATTAGCATCGTGTGCAAGAGAGAGCCCAGTTCTGAGTCTTCACTCCAGCTTTCCCAGCAGGCTGGGTGCTCACAGCTCTGAGCCACAGCCCCCTTACCTGCGAAATGGGAGAACATCCTCAGGGGGCTGTGGTGGGGAGAGCCCGACAGATGACGCTTGTGACATCAATAGTTGGAACTGGCCTCAAGCAAACCCCCACCCAATGTTTGGGTCTTTCAGCCATGCCCCCGGGTACTCCCCAGTTCTGCGTCCTGAGACCCAACACATAGAGTTTTGTCTCTTTCTGAGCTGAATCCACAACGCTTCCGCCTGTTTTCTCAAGATGGGTGGACTCAGCTATAACCACCACTGTATTACTAAATGCTCATTATCTTCCAGACTGTCCCCGGGAGTTTCACATACGCCATCTCTAATCCTTCCAGTGCCCCTAACAGTGTGGATTCAGCATCTCCAGGTTAAGGATGCAGATGTGGAGCTCAGAAAGTTGAGGGTGTGCACAGGTTCTCGAAGCCGGGTGGTGGCAAAACCAGAATAGGAAACTGGGTCTGGCTGCATCCCATGGCTGTCCTCACAGCCACACCCAACGTGCCTTCTCTTCCTGTCCTTCCTTGCTTCTTTTCTGCCTCTCCCTCTTCATGGGTGGCCAAAGGATGGTCCAAAGACTCATAAAGTCTGTCCTAGGTGCCTTTCTTTCCTGGCTCCCGGCCAGCTGCCATCACCGCCACCCCTCCAGGCCCCCCCGGCCCAGCCTCTGACAATATCCCTGATATCATGACAACGAGAGGCTGTCAGTTTTCAGCTGCAATAGAGTCCTTTCCGGCTCTGCACTAAGAGTCCATTAAGGATGCCCTCTCTTCTAAAGTGGGGCATCCCCAGGTTAAATTCTTTGTAAGCAGATGTTTATTTTTAGAGAGCCACAGTATGGGCTGTTACTGAATGCTTAAGCAGTTTTTTAAGACAAGGGTCACCAAAGGCTCCCACTGTAGAAAAACCTCCACATAATACCGCCTGCCGAACAACACAGTCAAGGGAAGAAAGAGGGAGAAAAGGGAGTTTTTTATTTTAAAAAGGAGGATTTTGAGAAGGGGGGTACTCTGAAAGCACTTCTGTTGAAAGAAGCAGACTTACATGTTTCCATTCAATGTGAAAATGGAGTCAATAAAGTTTATTTTTCCAGATATTTTGAGTGACAGTGACAACACCCATCAGGGTACAGGACGGGCTGGGACGCATGGTATCGTGCCGGCCAGGGGTTAATGTGAGTGTCACCGAGGTCCTGCGTATGCCTCGTCTCTATCTCATGCAACTACCAGGGGAAGATGTCAGCAACGTAGTGGGAGCTGGAAGGGGTGCTGTGGGGTTCCCTTCTGCTCATGGGACATGGGAGTTTTTGTGGGATGCTGCTAAGGGCAAGAGTGGGTCTTGCCCCCACACAATGGTGCCAAGGCCAGGTCTGAGAACAGCAACAACAGTTTAAGAAGGATAGTGAGAGAGCTAAGAGTTCCCAGTGTGGCCAGTTCCTAAGGAGAGCACGTTCCATGGCAGTACCATCACCCAGCACAGCGACAGAGGAAGTGGGTATGATTACTCCCCGCTTATAGCAAAAGCTCACTCGGAGAGGCTAAGTAACTCGCCTGTGGTAGAGACTGCTACGTGTCCATCAAAACTCATCTCTTTTCCTCAGGGCCATGCAGGTAGACTAGATGATCCAGCTTCCATTTAGGTGTGGCCTTGGGACTGAGTTCCTGCCAAGGGAATGTGGGCAAAAGGAAGGGGTGCCACTTCTAAGCTGACCCGGAGCATCCTCCCCTGTGCCCTTGCAAACTTGCACCCTCCACCAGCTGAATGAGGAGAGCATTCCAAGACGGTGGGGACACAGGATGGCAGGACCCACTGAGCACAGGGCAGGCCGCCAGGCCGATCAGTGGTGTGAGTGAGGAATAAGCACAGGAGGACTGAACCACTAGTAACTCTGTGCTCATCTATGGTGGAAGCTACAGTGGTGGAGGCACATACAATCCCACCACCTCAAGGACCCTGAGAAAACCCAGAGAACTGTAGTTGCTCCCGTTGTCCCCGCTCCATAGCCTCACACTGTGTTGAGCTATTAGTCTCAGGTTTAGCCACTTTCTACTCCATGCCAGGCTCTGCTGCCTGCTGAGGTCACGGACATGTGGTACAGTCCCTGTCCCCGTCTCAGCCCTCAGCAGTATTCTATTATGGTCCTTCCCTTGATGTATTTTGGAGCATATCAACAGACCAGGAAGCACCGTACTAAGCAGAAGGGACACAGAAAGGAAAACTCTTAAGGGGCTCCTGGAGCACCTGGAACATAGTTGGGGGGTGTACCAGAGATGTTGAGGATGGAGTCCCTAGTTGGCTATGGGAAGTTAGAGAAAGTCTGTCACAGAAGGTGGTTGAGCTGGGGCTTGATGGATGAGTGAGGGAGAGCCCAGTGGTCAAGCAGCATGAGAGGAGTCCAGAAGAGGGGCCAGCATGAGGGAATCTGAGACCTTTGATGTAACCAGAGCTTGAAGTGCAAGAGAAGAGTCCCCTCCTCACCAGCATCTCCCTGGTTCAGGCTCTCATCACCATGACAATGGTCTCCTGTCTCCGGCCGGAACCCCACAGGCTGTCCCTCACACTGCAACAGACATGTGCTCTCTAAACTCTCAGTTGGACCATGTCACCACCCCGCTTAAACTCCACTTTGGCTACCCTGGGTATTAGCCAACTCCCAACAGTGGTCTACACAGCCCTTCTGATTCTGACCCTGCTGACTTCTCTAGTCACAGCTGCTACGTTCTGCCCTGAACTTGATATTTCAGTGACTCTGAGCCACGCCTTGCTGTGCCCCCATGCCATCGTTCACACTGTTCCCTCTGCCTGGAATGGCCTCCCCACCCGACTTGCCCATCTCACCAATCCTACCCACTTCCTACAGGATGTCCATACCTGCCCCACTCCACCCCCTCAATAGGCTCAGTGCTCTCCTGTGTCCCGGGCACATCCTCTACCATCATCCTTGACTATGGCAAATGGGTTTGTCCGCTCACTGGTTGTCTGTCAGTGTGCAGTGCACAGTGCCTGGCACACAGGGGGTGCTCAGTTCATGTTTGCTGAACTGATCAGATCGAGGACAAACAGACCGCCTGACAAAAGCCCAATCACACCAATGACCTTTAGTCATCTGGACTCACTGATGGTCAACCCAGCTGTAAGTAAAGCTGGAGTTGGCTTTGCTTGGTGTAAGATTAGTCGTTGATTCTTCCTTAGAAGCGACCCCCACAATGAGGATTCCTGTGAAATAACTGATTAAGAAGCCATTCCCAGAGGAGCAGGGAAGTGGGACGGGAGGGAAGGGGGCCACACAAGGGAGTGGTATCCAGCAAAGTCCCACAGAGGGCAACTGTGGTGCAAACCCTCAGGCACCCTGGCACATCTCATTGTTGTCCCAATGAGAGGCAAGGGTATCGTGATGCTCATACTTCGATTCCCAAGCACTTTGGGTCATTTGTGTACATGAGCCAAGTGGACTTCACTCCTGAGGGCAGTCCTCCAGCAAAAGGGTACACCACTGGCTTTTCAAGTGGGTGTGACAATGGCCACGATTGCAGAGGATCCAGGTGCAGCACCAGCAGCTTCTGCTACATTCTCCAGACTCAGTTTTCCCATTCGGGGGAAAAAAAAAAAGCTCCCAGGTCTCTTCTATCTCTAAATTTCTGTGGCTCTGCAGCCTCAAGATAATAGTCCAATGCCCAACAGGCAGTTCCCAGGGGCTCAGAAAGACACTGCAGCCAGCCAGAAGCAATGACAGCCCTCTCATGGGTGCCAGAAGCCTGGGGAGGAGTGCACAGTACAGGTGATGCTCTACCAGGAGTCCTCGAAATGGAGCACCATCAACATGGCACCATGAGCGACCAAGGAGCTCTTCCATCTGTTCTGGTTCTCCTATCACAGTCTTGCCATCTCTGGCCATCAGAGATGCAGCACCATGGGACAAATCACAGCCTACAACTCTCAGCACAGGCTCCCCTGGGCTTTCACCAAGGGTCATGGGTGGAGCAACATGATGAGATTTTTCCTACCAGGAAATGCTCAAGAGTTGCAGCTGGATGTGCCCATTTGGAGAAACAAGCCCAAGGAGGGCAGATGGCAAGGCACCTGGAAACAAGAGGGTTTAGGGAGTCAGAAGGATTGGATTTCATTTCTGGCTTTGCCTTTACCGGCTGTATGACCTTGGGCAAGGGACAGTATTCCCTGAGTCTTTTTGTCCCCCGTTGCCAAACCACACATAATTTTCCTCAAGCTCTTGTGGGAATTAAACTGGATGTCATATGTAAAACTGCTCTGCACACAGTAAGTGCTTTAGAAAACATGTCTGTCTTTTGCTCCTTCGTTTTATTAACATCTCCTCATGTTCTTTGTCTTTCTTATGAACAGTGTTCAAGAAATACTGCTTGAAAGAATGAATATGTGGATGGATGGATGGATGGATGGATGGACGACGGATGCATGGATGCATGAATGGATGGATGGGTGGATGGATAAATGGAAGGATGGATGATGGATGCATGGATGGATGGATGGATGAAAGAGTCTGGGTTTTGGAGTTAGGCAGACCTAGGTTTTAATTACAACTCCGCTATGTAATCTTCTTCAGGTTACCTTACCTCACCAAATATCATCTGTGAAATGGTCATAATAATTCCTGTTTCCCAGAACTGTTGAGAAAAAAAATGAGAAAGTGGATCTAACAGACCAGAGTAAGAAAATGGTACATGGTAGATACTCAACAGATGTTGCTTCCGGTGGGGACGGAATGACTGGCTATAGTTCTTCACCCTTCCCTGCTTTCATACCCCTCCCATGGCCTCATCATGGACATAGTATCACCCCCACCTGATGACTTTGGGTTTGGCCATGTGACTTTCTCTGGCCAATGGCATATGGGCCAGAGTGAGTTAGCCAGTTCCAAACCTAAGCCTTAAGAGATCATGTTGTCTTGCGCTTCCACCATAGCCTAAGAAGCCCTTCCCCTGAGTAGCTATGGTCCCTTCTGCCTGGGCCCAGAATTAACATATGTGGAGCAGAGTCACCCCACCAAGCAGACCCATAATGAAGCCAAGCTGCCAAGGTAAGTCCAGCCAATCTGCGGATTTATGAGAATAAGTGATATTTAAACCCACTGAATTTAAGGGTGGTTTGTTATGCAGCACTTTGTAGCAAGAACTAGCCAATACACGTCCTGCTCATTGGGGCTCTCCCTAGGTTCCCATCTGCTAAGGCATACACCCACAACTAGACCCCCGCTCTCCTGAAAAGGATTCTAGCACACTTCCCCCACCCACCACCAAACGGTACCTCACCTCCTCAGTCTACAAGTTTTGCTCCAAACCTCCACATCCCGTAGACACCAGCGGAGTACCCCATTCCTGAAGCAGCACTTTAGCAGAAATGCTTTCATAGGCAAGAGAAAGCAACAGAAGCAAAGGTCCACTTCTCAGCCTCTAAAAGAATTTTTTTTGTTGGCGATAATGCCTTCGGCAACAGTGCTCACATTCCCAGATGGACCACTCAGCATAAGTTAGGGACAGAGGTGTACGTTTCACTGAAGCTGCCCACTTCAATTTTCTCTTTGTCGAAAAGAAAAAAATTAAAAGTGCTTCATGTGTACGCTGAAGTACATCATTACTTTCTGAGTGCTTTATCATCATTACCGCATGTTCTCGTGCAATCACAGAAGACCTTGACTCCCGTGAATCACACTGCCTTCTGCTTTGGGGCTGCTTGGACTGGTGCAGGGTAGGCATTGTTCTGCCGGCGTTATGATGCCCCGTGTGAAGGAGCTGGAGAGGAAGCTCTCCAGGTAAACAGATACACTCTCTGTTTCCACTCAAGGCTTCGAGCCATTCCTAACCCCCAGTGATGCTGGATAAATCGACTTTGCTCAAAAGGAAGAGTTTTCTTTGGGGACCTCCATTTATCTCAGTAGACAGTGGGGAGACACAAAGAGAAGGGGGTTAATGCTGGGCCAATCTGAGTTGGGCCAGGGGTCTGTCTGGTTGTGTGTGTGTGGAAACTGGACGGTGAAGGTGAAGGTTATCTGAATTTAATGAATTTCTCTAATCCCTAAGGCACTTATGACTCGCAAAGCTACCTAGCACCTACCGGTTGAGATAAAATGGAAAGTACCTAAGAGCCCTGTTTGTTGTTTTGGAATGTGGTCTCACGGAGCATCCCCCCGCGGCAGGATGCGCATGGATTCTGCCCTGTCCACCCCAGTGCTCAAGCCTCTCCCTGAGCAAGCCCAAGAAAAGGGTTCTCTTCCCTCATTTTTTGCCAGGCGGCACACCATCCATTCTTCAGTGATCTCAGTGCGAGGGAGGAGGTCAGTTGACCTGAAGGACACAAAGGCTGGAAAGGATTGTCAGCTAAAGGTGTGCAGAGCCTGTACCCCGGAGCCAGACTGGGGCCCTGACCTGGGACACTGTCTGCTAGCAGGAACCCCAAGAAGTAGATTTGTCTGCTCTTTGCACGAAATGGGGAACGCACCCAGAAACCCCTGCTGTTTCTTACCCCCACACTTCATTGTTCATTCTCCTCTCCCAGGACAGCTTCCTGACCAACTCCCCCCAGCTCCCTCCTCCATGTACCCAGGACCCTCCCCAGATGGGAGGTCACTGCCCCGAACATCTTCTGACACACACATACTCTCATCTGACTCTCGCTGTAGTCCTATAGGGGAGACCCTGGCTGTCCCCACCTTGCAGATAGGGAAACTGAGACCATGGGTTACACAATGTGACCAAGACCACGGTTACTAAGGGGGTACCAGGAATCCACCCAGGCCTGTGCAGCCCCCCAGCCCAGCCACAGGAAGGTCCCATTCACCCCATTTCACAGACACCGAACCAGTGACTGCAGAAGTAAAGATGGTTGCCTGCGGTCACGCAGGCAGGGAGTGTGGAATGCCCCCATCATTTACAGTGGCCCCTTCTGGTGTCCACTCGTCTCTTACACTGGGGGCTGCTGGAGGACAGGGATGATTTCTCACCTGCTCCTTCATCCCAGCACTCAGTGCAGGACATGGCCTGGAGCAGGTGCACCGGCAAGTGGGAATTGAATAAACACCCGAGCTAGTCAAATGTCAGGAGATAGTCACGCTGTCACAGTTTGTGGGCCACATGCTATGACTCGGAGGGACAGGGGAAGAAAGAATATGAGGGCACTGCCTGTGGCAACCAGCCCTCATCCTCCAGGAAGAGTGTAGGACTTAAAGGCTTGAGTTTACGTCCTGCCTCTGCCTTCGTGAGATGCACCTATGCCGCCAAGAAACCCCGAGAAACGGGCAATAACACGACCCACACAGTAACTCTGTCTCCCCTTGGCCTAGAGCCTTCCTATGGCCCAGGATGACCCCCCAAGACTCCTCAAGCCCACAAAGACAAAACCAAGGCCTTGGACTTGCATCCTCAACACAAGGAAGGTTTGTTTTTTGCAGGGGCCTGTCCCAGTCTTGTTTGCAGCAGAGAGAGCTCCTTTGCAGCCAAGAGGGATAGGACAGGAGGCAGGAGGAGCCACGAGGGGAGGCTGCTGCAGGGGTCCGTGCAAGGGATGATGAAGCCCTGCTGGGCATGGCGTGGGGGGTTCTTCTGGTGTAGACTTGACAGACCAGCTAACTGGTCGACCACAGAGCCTGCAGGAGAGAAGAGTCAAAGCCGCCTCTGGAGGTTTCTGCCCTGTGGACAATGATACAACTTACCATGTTGCTAGGACCAGGGAAGAGCATGAGGATAAAATGATGGGTTCTGTCAGGTACCTGTTAAGTCAGAGGGCTCTAGAGCACACCCACGGGGTGACTCAGGAGACTTGTATGGGTGTAGACTTTGTTTGGAGGGTAGCCCACGGGCTGGAAATATAAAATTTGGGGTCCTGAATGTACAAGTGGTACAGTGAGGTTACCCAAAGGGCATGGGGGCAGGGAAGAAGCAGTGATTCGTCTGTGAGTAGGAAATGTCAGTCTTAGAGGACACCGGGCAGTTGCTGAGAAGGACAGTCAGAGGGGTAGGAGGAAATCATGAGGAGGTCACTGTTATTAAAGCCTAACAAGGAAAGAATTCAATAGGACAAGGATGAACAGGGCCCCGGGGCCCAGAAAGTTCCAGAGAAGAACTAGAGAGTGTTCACTGGACTCACGGGCTGCAGGTGGGATGCCGAATGCTCTCGGTGTCTCACGCAGGCACAACTCAACGGTATCGCTGTTTCCTGCCTCCTTAAATTTCATTCAGGAGCGAGTCTGACCCAGAATTCTGACAGATTCATGGGGCTTTTCTGCTCATTCTTGGCAACATCCCGTCCGAGGGCCACTTGGGAGTCACAGAGGCAATTTCGGTTATCAGAATGTCGGAAGAAGAAAGTGACCCACCATCTCCCTCCTGGGTAGGCCCTGCCCAAACTGGTGCTCTGTGTGGGGAGGGGGCACGGTGGACGCCGCTATTCCTCCGCCTACCTGCTCCTTTACACGGTCAACTTTCCAAGGCACAACCTCGGCCCAAAGCCTTCCTTACTCCACACCTTGCCTCCCTTTTTCATGTTCTTGACCTGCCTGAGGAGTTTCAGAACCAGGGAACTGGTTTTTGCTTTGAGCTCACTTGGATGACAATCCCAGCCCCTCAGGGGAAACTGAGGCAGGAGTCATGCCATGTTGGCACAGCCTTAGAGAACCACCCTGACTTCAGGAAGAGTGGGCCGAGCGGTGGACTTTGGGCAAGAGATGGGAGGCAGGAAGGCAGACAGGTGGGGTTTGTTCAAGGTGTTGAGGAAACCGAGGCAGTGCCCTGAGAAGGCACCAAGCCCCTGCCGGTGCTGTAAAGCTGCTAAGGCACATGGGAGATGGAGAGACACCCCACTGAGCCCGTGTGGGGTGATGCCAAAGCAGACCTTCCCCAAATAGCTTCTTTGTGCTCTGATGAGTATTTACAAATCTGTCTTCAAGATTCAAGGAGAGAGAAACTTAGCTCTTTTTAAGAATGGGAAACCAAAGGCAATTTAAAAAGAGGGTGGGGGGCACCCCTCAAATGTCGTTCGACTTCATCAGAAGCATTTCTCACCCTGACAAAAGAGAAATAACAAAGAGTGTGTTCTCCTTATTTTTCCAGAGGGACTGTCTCTATGCTGGTGGAGAAGGAAGTCATAAAAGATACGGAGCAAATGCAATAACTGGATGTTTCAGAGCATGGGAGGCTTATTCTTTGGGGGCAGGAAAGCCCACAGTGGGACACTTCAGACAGCCTACTTAATTTTGAAAGAAAAACAAAATTATTTGCAATTTCAATGGCAGCGCCATCACGGGCCTCTACCACCGCCTCGGCAAGGAAATCAGTTGCCATGGCAACCTCAGGTTGCATCATTAAGAATTTTTTAAATGTTGAGAGGTGGGAGGCAGGGTTTAAACACTAGAGGAAGAGGAAGAGAGGGAGGGAGGGAGGGAGGGAGGGAGGCTTGAGAAGGGAAAGAAGTAATCCAGCGGTGAGTGGAAGTCTCTGCAGAGGGAGGAAATTCAGGGGCGGGGCCTCCCTTCACTCAGGGGATGAGTGGATGGTTCATTGTCTCTCCCAGAATCCCAGAGG